GGTGGGGACAGACCGTGAGGTGGGAGGTGTCCCGGGGTGGTGGGGACAGACCGTGAGGTGGGAGGTGTCCCGGGAGCCCTCTTTACATCACACTGCCTGCGTTTGAATCCTGACTTAGTAGCCAAGTGAGCCTGACTGAGTCATTTCATCACCTGAGCTTTAGTTTCCTCTATTAGAAAAGGGAGGAGAGAGCCCCCAGCCTGGGAAGACAAGGAGGCAGGACTCCCAGCCGCTTCTCCCGGAACTGCATGGTGCTCTTCTCTTCTGTGAGAAGTCGGCGGCCCCTCCCATACTTTCCCCTTTTTCGGGAAAGCATGTAGCTTTTTCTCCCTAAAAATCTTCACCCTATGTGCTAGACTCACACCATTTAAACCTGGTAAAGATAAAAGTATTCTTTCGCCTAAACTCCCCTCTGATAAGCGACTTCATTAAAGATAAGTGACTTAGTTTAAATACTGTCTAATAAAGCTGTTCTCAGTTGGGCGCTGGCTGCAGGCTCAAGCTGCTCCCGTCCTCTGCGGATCCCACCTTGGTCTCTTTCGTGCCTTATTCTCTCATCCCCACTGTCCCGCTCTGCCTCCTGCTCCTCCTTCGTGCTGGCTCTCAAGAGGCTGGTGCAGTGCAGAGGTGTTTACGGTTAATCACAACCAGTTACAGATTGCTTTGTTCTCTCCCACTGCTTCACTTGAATAGCCTTGGTGGTGGTGGTGGTTGTTGTTTTGCAGTTTTTGGCCAGGGCTGGGTTTGAACCCGCCACCTCTGGTATATGGGGCCTGCGCCCTACTCCTTTGAGCTACAAGTGCTGCCCTTTAATTGCCTTTTTATAAAAGGAAAAAAAAAAAGCCTGGGTAAGGTAATGTAATCCTAGCACTGTGGGACCCAGAACCAGGTGGATCCCTTGAGCCCAGGAGATAGAGACCAGCCTGAGCAAGAGCAAGACAGGTGTCTACTAAAAAAATAGAAAAAATGAGGCAGGAGGATCGCTTGAGCCCAAGAGTTTGAAGTTGCTGTGAACTACCAGGCCACAGCACCCTACCAAGGGTGACAGAGTGAGACTCTGTCTCAAAAGAAAAAAAAAACTCTAGGGATAAAAGAAGCCTGAGCCAGAGCGGGAGTGTGGCTGTTTAAATTCTTCTGTGCCCTCGCTGCGCTGGCTGGAATGAAGCCCTCCCTCTTTAAACACGGTGTCTGGGTGTTTTCTCTCCACTGGGCCTGGTCTCCGCATCACCCCTGCACTCTGATCTCTTCCCCTCCTCGGGGACTCTGGGCTTCCCCTTCCTGACTGTAACTCTCTGTGTTTCTTTCTCGTCTTGGAAGGGCCAGAATCCTGTGCTTACTGTTGTCCAATGCTCAAAACCTGGTGTCTCATATATAATCCAGCTAACTACAGCCAGAGGGCGATTTTTTTTTCTTTTTTGGAGACAGAATCTCACTTTGTCCCCCTCAGAGGAGCGCTGTTTCATCATAACTCACAGCAGCAACCTCAAACTCTTGGGCTGAAGTGATCCTCCTACCTCAGCCTCCTGAGTAGCTGGGACTACAGACACCTGCCACAACGCCCAGCTAGTTTTTCTATTTTTAGTAGAAATGAGGTCTCACTCTTGCTCCTGCTGTTCTGGAACTCCTAAGCCCAGGGGATCTGCCTCGGCCTCCCAGAGTGTGCAGACTACAGGCGTGAGCCATAGCAGCCCAGCCTTAGGACCAGATTTTTAGAAATGGTGGCAATCTCAGAATTGGAGTCTGTCCTGCCTGCCGTTCCAACACTTCCATTTCCTAAGTGGGAGACACAAGCCAGAGGGAAGAAGTGATTGATTAGCTCTGTCACCCACTAGCTTGCAGGCCGGTCTTCTTTAGACCTTGGTGGGAATTCATCAATTTAGCAAACTATCGGCCAGTCTCAGTGGCTCACGCCTGTAATCCCAGCCCTCTGGGAGGCCGAGGTGGGTGGATAGCTTGAGCTCATGAGTCCAGACCAGCCTGAGCAAACGCGAGACCCTATCTCTACTAAAAATAGAAAAACTAAGGCAGGAGGATCACTTAAGCCCCAGAGTTGAAGGTTGCTATGAGCTACGATGCCTCGGCACTCTACCCAGGGTGACAGCTTGAGATTCTGTCTCAAAAAAAAAAAAAAAAATAGCAAACTATTATAGAGTACCCACATGTGGCTTCTGAATTAGCCTGAAATTTTTCAGACTTTTTTTTTTTTGCAGTTTTGGTCTAGGGGCCAGGTTTGAACCCACCACCTCTGGTATATGCAGCCGGCACCCTACTCCTTTGAGCCACAGGCACCACCCATTTTCAGATTATTTTTTAGAGCAATTTTAAGTCAATAGAAAAATTGAGAGGAAGGGCTCAGTGCTCGTGCTCAGTGAGTAGGGCGCTGGCCACATAAACCGAAGCTGGCGGGCTTGAGCCCTGCTGGGGCCTGCTAAACAGCAATGACAACTGCAACCAAAAAATAGCCGGACGTTGTGGCGGGCACCTGTGGTCCCAGCTACTTGGGAGGCTGAGGCAGGAGACTTGCCTGAGCCCAGGAGTTGGAGGTTCCTATAAGCTGTGGTGCCACAGCACTCTACCCAGGGGAATAGCTTGAGGCTCTGTCTCAAAAAAAAAAAAAGAAAGAAAGAAAAGAAAAGAAAAGAAAAACTAGGTAATCCTAGCACATGGGAGGCCGA